AGCAGAGTAAGATTTCTTGCTTATATGGAAAGATTATTCTGGTTTAAGGCTTCTGTAGTTCATAGTTAGTATTGAGATTTGTTATTAAATAGGCATATCCAAATGCAACTCACACTAAAGCATGAGTACAGTGAGCTTATAGAAGATGTCTGTGGAGCTGTTTCTTCACAGTTATTTAGAGTGAAATCTTGCTTCCTTTTTTTGCCAGCTGTGTAGAGTTTTGGAGATTTAGGTAATTATATCCCTTCTTAAATTATGACTATGGCAGAAGTAACTTTCTATGCTTTTGTGGGTGAAATTGGAAAGCAACTGAAATGTTTTTAAAGGCACTTAGTGGGTTGTGTAATATTCCTGTTGTACTTGGTCCACTTGCCAAGTTTTTAAATCCCAAGTTCACAGCCTTGAAAAGTGTGTAGTCACATTATTATGCTGCTCAAATACCTTTTTGAAATTTGCTTTGGATGTTGCTGCAACCAAGCTGATAACCCTGAAGTTTTTTGCTGCTGCTTTTGTTTTACGGAAAAACTTTCGGAAGAGTATGTATAGGTGTACTCAGTTTTGGAGGTATAGCTACCTTAAGGAATCAGCAAGGAGTGGTCTTTATTGCTTGTTTTTATGGACTCTATTTGGTTAAGGAGTATAGTACAGTTGGTTAATTTTCTTGTGGTGTGAAATGAGCTGAGAAAGTGATTGTTTTGTGCTCTGAAATTTCCTGTATAACAATGCATTTCTCTTTGGCAAGACTGTGTGTGTATGTTTGCTCAAGGTGTCTGTTTATGATGGCAAATGCCTGAGAATTTCAAGTGTAATAAATACTTTTCATCGATATTTTGCATTAGCAACTTCTTTTAGGTGTAGTTTGAGGTGAAAGAAAAGAATAGTGGTGTTAGGTGTTTTCCTGCAGGCTGGGTGCTGTACTGGGGTGACATTGTGTGGCACCAGTGTAGTTGTTAACCCTCATCTGCCCCATCATTGTCAGGAGAAGGCACTAGTGTCCCCCAAGGGCTGCCCTCTGAGTTGGTCGTGTTCATGTTAGAGAAGGAGGCAGTGGAGGCAGGTGTGCAGGGCTGGGTTTGGAGGGGTGCATGGGTAGGCTGTTTGTGTAGCTGCCGTGTTAAATGCAGTTAGAAGTGATTTGACTGAGGTAGAGGAGGAAGCTGGTGCCAGAACCACAATGGGAACATAAGGATTTCTGGCTCTTGCGGTGCTTGAAACATTCTTCCTTCTCCAAAGGACCTGGAATCACCTCACGCCCTTTTCTTTAAGTAGGTAATTAGATGAAATTACAAACCTATTGCAGAAACGTACCAAGGAAAGGCACTAGCTTAATTATTTCACTTTGTAAATCAAGAATAGACCCAGTAACCGATAACCATTGATGATTTTCAAGTAGTCAAACTGTTAAGGTGTGGTTAGAGCTGGTATCTACCGTGGTGATTGTTAAACATTGCACAGTGTAACATTTCAGGAAACACCCTGAGGGCTTTGAAACAGTTGTGTTTCCAAACATAACAAAATTACCTAGAAAACAGGAGCCAGTGCCTGACCAATGCTCTGTTGACCTTTCTGTGCCTACGGGCACGCTGGATTGTCACATTACTCACTGAAGGTGGAATAGATCTGTCCCTAGCAACATTCCCTATTGTTCTGTTGCTATTCCCTGTGTTGTAATACAGAGATAAATGTTGACACTGTTGACTGATACTAACTTTGCATGTGTACTAATGCAAGGGAATCTGTGCCTGTTTTTCACCCCTCAGAAATACGGCTACACGCACCTCTCTGCTGGGGACCTCCTTCGAGACGAGCGAAAAAGGCCAGGCTCACAGTATGGAGAGCTCATTGAGAACTACATTAAGGAGGGGGAAATTGTACCAGTTGAAATAACAATCAGCTTGCTGAAGAGGGTAAGGAAAGGGCTTTTTACTTGCTGGTTCACTAAGCAACAAAGCAGAGGTATGTTCTGGAAGAATTGCCTTGCCCCCGATATGAGCAGTATGAAGTGGCAGATACGTAGGTGGGCATTGTCTGCTGGGCTTCTCTTAGCAAGTACTCGTGTTACTTCCTGGCTGGTGGGAGGGTAGTAGGTGATGGCCTCTGATACCTGTGGATCTGTGAGAATGGATTATTTTTATTTTATTAGTAGCTCCAGGGAAATAATTGAAACTCTGTATTTCTTCTTTCCTTTCACTGGCTTTTGGACCTCTTGATCAGCACGGTCATATTTGATTGAAAGGCAGAGGCTTTAAAGGTACAAAGTTTGTGTAAGTTTTATCAAAATAGCTAGCCAGGTGAAGGAGAAGAGCACCTGCTGATGTTCCTGTGGAATGCAAAGTTCTGGCCTTTATCCTTACTAGATGTCCATGAAAACAACCAGAGGATTTCCTTTATGACAGGAAATGCTTCTGTTGCTCAGAGCACTAAATTTATCTGGAGTTTTTCCAGTAGAATGATCTCCAGATCAGGGATATTTTGACATCTTCCTGTGTGACACCACCAACCAGTATCTTGTAGAAAATAAACTTTTAAAGCTGGGGATGTGTGTTCTGAGACTTTGAGCTTTACAAAATAACCTGGTTTGGAAGAAGGTTGTATTTATACATCAATAAATTAATTAGCATGTTTTGAAGATGAAATAAAAATACGTTTTGTAAATCTGCATTAACCCTAAGATAAATGCTTCTTAATTTACCATGTCAACCTTTTGGGGATAATTTAATAAGTAGATAAATGGTTGTATATGCAAGAGATGTTGAATTGAATTATCTTTTATCAGGCTATGGATCAAACAATGGCTGCCAATTCTCAGAAGAACAAGTTCTTGATTGATGGATTTCCCAGGAATGAAGATAATCTTCAAGGCTGGAATAAGACAATGGATGGAAAGGCAGATGTTTCTTTTGTCCTCTTTTTTGATTGTGACAATGAGGTAATGAAATATATTATTTTGTAGCTTTCTTTCTTGCTCTATTATGAGAACCATTCAAGAGGTGCAATAAAATCCTTATCAGACAGTGAATGGACTAGAGTAAGTGTAGAAAGAAAACTTGGTCTGTGAGATTCAAGAATTTTTTGGCAAGATGTTTTTGAAGATAAAACAGCTTCTTTTTTTTTTTTTAAATAGTAGGCAGCTAATTACACTTGGTATAATCATGTGCAAATGAATTCTATTCAAGAAGTACTTCAGGCAATTGCATGAAGTACTTTAAATGCATATATATGCATTTAAAAACTTTATATGCATTATAAAAATGCATATAAAAACTTTAAATGCATTATATATGATTATTTGGTTAATCTTCAGAACACATTGCTCTTTTTACTCTTAGTAGCTGTTGTTTAATCCAAAATGAACTTGATAGCAATGTCTGCTTTTATTTTTGAGTGCTGGCAGCAACAGTCCTTTTTTTTTTTTTCATAGTTATGAGCTGTGTTATAGGATAGCCAGTAATGAACATTTTATTCAGCAAGTCATTAGATTACAAGGGCATTTTGACAGTGATACATTATATTAATTTAACAAGTGCCATGATATGCTGTCTTTTTAATATGCCAGTGCCCTTGGGACATGAAAACTGATATGAGAATCCCAGCACCTTAAGCTGACTTCCTTCCTTTTACCCTTTCTCCAAGTTCCTGAGAAATTTTGTCACTTATCTTTTTATTAATTGCAATTTTTTTTATTTTTTTTTAAATCTCAACAGAGCGAGTCATCGGTTGGGTTTTTTTTCCTATTAAAAAAATTAAATAAGAGTATATTAATTTTTTCACTAGGAGTGTTAATCTTGAGGTTCTAATTTTTTTACTAGATCTAAAAGTAGGCAACAATATGTACATGATCTTCTGGATTTTTTTACTGTGGGTGGAATTTGTAGCGAAAAATGATTTTTAACCATTTTCTTCTTGTACGAGTAGGAAAAATGTATTCATTAGGTGTACATGTGTCAATGTTGCTTGCTTAGCTTTATGTTTCAAAACATGGTTCATTGACAAGTCTTCAGCTACAGTTAGTTCTTAATTTTTACTTAGATTTTCATTTTTAATTCTTCATTGTAGCAGTATTAAAACAGTAAAACATTTTAACTTATAGAAACTGAGTATGTAGCCTTACAAATTTTGTTTCAAGTTGGAGACCCAGTCAAACCCAGAGCCTGAAGTTGCTTTTACTGCCACTGACTGCCATTTTAATAAGCTAAGTGTAAAGCTACCGTCCTTTTTCTCTGGAAAAACCTAACTTCCCATGTGAATTCACACGGAATCACCAAGGCTGGAAAACACCTTTAAGATCATCAAATCCAGCCTGTGACCAAAACCACCACATTGGCTAGACCATGGCACTCAGTGCCACATCCAGCCTTTTCTTGAACACATCCAGGGATGGTGCCTTCAACACTTCCCTGGGAAGTCCATTCCAATGTCTGATCACTCTCTCTGTGAGGAAGTACTTCCTAATATCCAACCTAAACCTCCCCTGGAGCAGCTTGAGGCCCTGCCCTCTTGTCTTGTTGCTAGTTGCCTGGAAAAAGAGCCCAGCCCCCCCCGACCACAACCTCCCTTCGGGTAGTTGAAGAGAGTGAGAAGGTCTCCCGAGTCTCTTCTTCTCCAGGCTTAACAACCCCAGCTCCCTCAGCCTATCCCTAAGACTTTCCCTCTAGTCCTTTCCCTAGCCTTGTTGCTCTCCTCTGGACCTGCTCCAGCATCTCGGTATCCTTGAAGTGAGGGGCCCAGAACTGTACCCAGTACTTGAAGTGAGGCCTCACCAATGCTGTGTACAGGAGGAGAATTACATCCCTACTCCTGGATGCATTCTGGATGCATCTTCCAGATCAGACAGCATGTTTTGTGTCAGGCTTATTTAGATTTTCAGGATTTATTGGGGTTTTTTGTGCCTGATTTCTAGAGAGCTCCTGGTGTTCTTGGTTGTGATGATGCTTTTGCTGTTGCTTGTAGATATGTATCAACCGCTGTCTGGAGAGAGGCAAGAGCAGTGGTAGGAGTGATGATAATCGGGAGAGTCTGGAGAAGAGGTACCATCTCCAAAGCTTTTCACTTCCATTCTCTTTATATTTTTATGATGTAATGCCTTTTCTCTTTTCGCCTGTGTTTCTTCCTAGAATTCATACGTATCTGCAGTCTACTAGGCCTATAATAGATTTGTATGAGAGAATGGGGAAAGTCAGAAAAGTGGATGCCTCTAAATCTGTTGATGAAGTAAGTATATAAGCCAGAAAATCATGGGGGTGACTGTGGCAGGGTACATATTTTTGGCTCTCTTCTCAGATGTATGTATGTGTGGTTAGGGTGTTAATTAAGCACTGATGTGTGTTCTGAGGGAGGTTGTGGAGCTCTCGTTTTGACTCTTGAAGAGCGGATTAAGATGTGAATAACTTTAAGAAATCAATTAGTTATGCTTGAACATGAGCTGGACTAAACACATTCTAAATGTTTCTTTGTTTAACACTGTCTTCTCTTTCTCAGTTTTGTGAGTTTTTGCTTTTCTTTCTGTCTCAGTTTCCCAGAACTGATGCCAGTTTCACTATTAAAGAAATACTGTGAATGTTCTAAGAAAAACCTACGTGTTTTTAAAAATCCTGTCAATTATTGTGTGTGCTGGTTTAACTTGAAGTGTAACTATTTGGCTAACACTTCATAAAAGTAATATTCTTCTCTCTCTTTTTAGGTTTTTGAAAAGGTTGTACAAATTTTCGACAAAGAAGGCTAATTCCCAGCTTGAATATTCAATTAAACTTGTGCTTGAATCCTGCTTGAATAGCTGCTACTGCAGTCCACTCTTTGTAATTGTTTTAAAGGATTTTTAAATTGTTTTTCACGTATCTAATGATGATTCAAAAAGCAGTTGATTGCAAATGGATCTGTTTTTTTTTAATAGGAAATAATTTCTTGTGGCTATAATATACAAATTTCAGGTTTCTTCATTAGTACAAGCTCAATTACTCACATGGCAAAACCACGGTTAAAACATCTCTCTGAAGAGACTATTTATTCTGTCACAGTTCTGTGCCTATCATGGGCAGCCCTTATTCCTTACTGCCATACACCTTTTATTTTTCTTTTGCTTTAAGGATCAACTAAATAGCAGCATTAAGCAATGAGGGACTTGTGTGCCCTTGTTTGTTTTTTTGGATGCTTGGACCAAATTTAGCAGGTTTTTTTTTCAGCGTATAATTTTATGAGGAAGTTCCCTGTTATCCCCAGACCTGAATTCTGTAAGTCAAGCTGCAGTTAGTATGAGAATCTGTTGTAGCAGTTCTCACAAAACTATTTAATATGCTCTTCAGCAATAGACATACAAAATACTTTATGGAATGTGGTGCTTTCTTAAGGCTGTGGATGTAGACTGTCTTATAAGTTCTTGAGGACTTGGGTGACATAACCCTGGGCTTAAATGTGTCTTCATTTGCAAGTGGTTAAGAATATAAATTAAAAGTCAGGTCAGTATTTCCATACTCATTTATTTTAATAGCTATATTCTTAGTTACAACATGGTCTTCACAAGATGGCAAAACTTAGGTAGTGTACAGTAAGTAAAATCTTCTAACAGTTATATCTTTCTTAATAAGTGGAAAGGATTTTGTGTATTCTTATTTTTTTTGAAGTACTGTGTTACTGAATGCTCTAAGGTTTGTTACCTGGGGAAATATTTTTATGGTTAAACTAGTGAATTTGTTTCCCTAAAATGGTATAATTTTAAGAGCTGTCTGTTTGAAAAGATTGTAAATTATTGCACTTTTGTTACAAAGTGGTCAGCTGAGAGGAAGATACCTGCAGGAAAAAAAGTTCCATTTCCTAAACAATTTGGGTCCTGCTCCTTCACCTTCTCTTGAATGAGCCAAGTACAGTCAGCAGCAATAGTTGTGCTGAGCAGATAACCAGCTGAAACAAACTGGTGTAAATGTTTGCACAGATGTGGTGTAATTCTGCCTTTTGTTTAAAGTAACCTTTTCTCTCCCCTATAGAGCTAGCATAGGGCTGTGGGGCCCCAGCCCTGCATTCCTTGCATGCCCTGAGCTTTCACTGAAGAAGGCTCCAGAAGGCTTGAAGGATGAGTGTTTTAACTAATGTTACTGATGGGATGGTTCTTCCTAAGTTAACTGACACTGTAATTGGTTTCTGGTATGCTAATAGGTGTTGCAAATTACAGGGAGTTCCAATTTGGAAATCTTGGGGTTCAGCTCTTCTTTATTGACGACTTTCTTTGTTGAGGAAAAGTTTAAAATTAAGGCTAGCTTCTAATTAGAATCAGACATGTCAGTCCTCATCCTGCAATCTGATCTGGGCAGGCACATTTGTATTTGCATGAATTCTCATCTCACTGAGGTTCCTGAGGCTGCTGGACTGGGGAAGAGATGGGTACAGAAACCAAGGGTAAACTCTAGTGTCCTTTCCAGTGTGGCTGGAATTCAAATAATAGACTGAGCACAACTAGCTCTTTACTACTGCAGAATATATGGACCATGACTGCTTTTGTCAGTGTGGGAAGCTAATGCTTTTCTCTTTGTGAATTTCCCCTTAAAAAAAAGAAAAATCATGGCATTTCATTCTTAGTGTGTAACTGTGCTGACATAGGATAGGATCCAGTGAAACTGCATGTTTTGATAGGAAGGTTAGAATCAGGGTTTTTCCAAGAAGACTTCAAACAGAATTCTTTAATCTAATTAGAGAGATTTAATTAGGTTTTTTCTAAGTTACTGCCTTCTACAAGTTCTGTTCAGAGTAGAGTATCTGTTTTTTCTAATCATATACTTTTCTGTGTATTTAAGTGCTGAAGCAAAGAAAAAAAACCCTTTGGAGCAAGTTTTTAGCAAAAAACACAATGTTTTGGCAATATTGAATTTGGAGTGGATTGTAATGTGTCTGTGCAAAGACTAGATTTTTTTTTTGTCATTTTATTTATTGAAGATGCCATTAAATGTGTTACCAATTCTTTCAGGTTGGACTTATGATTGAGATAAAGATTAAAGGCAATATGCCCATGTGTTGTGTCTGTTTAGCAGCAAAACTGTACAAAGAATTTGAGGAGATCAATAAACTTTGTTCTGTGGCTTAATGTGAGTGCATGGCTTACAGTTATCTGTCACAAAGGGTGTTTTTATATGTGTCTGTCTATATGAAGTGTGTATTTATTAGTGTTAGAGACTGTGTGGCTTCATACTCAAAGGTATGTGTATAAAAGTTCAGTTTCCACCCTCAAACCTGAAGTTCTGAAGACCCTTACAGGCACAGATGAATGGCTGTGAAATTGGTGCCTTTTCTTGATTGTATAGATTTATCAAACTACTCTGTTCATGCAGTTGTGCAGTGAGAATTCTTTTGGCACATCTGTGAAAGAAGTGGGACTTGAAGTGGGCTAGGAAACATAAACCTATGGCATGGCTGCTGTTGGAAACTGTTTTTTCCTTCATTCCTCGTTTCTCAATTGCCAGCTGATTTTTTGGATGCCATTCTGCCACTTGGCAGCAAATGTCTACGTGCTGTACTGGGGCCTGTCTTAAAGGAGATGGGCACAGCATAACCCTCTTTATAAAAGACCCTGAGAGGTTGCCTGGCTTAATTTAAAATGTTTTCCTTTTTGACAAAGTTTTGTCACAGAATGGGTTGGTTGTTCACATGTAGGTTTCCAGTAAACAACATGTTGAATTCGAAACCTTAATCTAGAAAGATTTGCAGAGCTGGCCTAAAAGGGCTTGGAGAAGAGGATTTTCCAGCAGTTGTAGGTATCTTTCTTCTGATAAAAACTATATGAACCTAACTGTTTTGCTGAAGCCCCACCCTGAGGCTGTAGTGTCTCCTTGAGGACTGGGTGATGGGCAAGGCTCTGGTGGCTTGCCCCTGAGCAAGCTTCTCACTCCCACAACTGGGAGATTTGGACAGGAAATCCCAGCCCGAAAGGTGCCAGTTTGATGGAGTGGTGAAGAAGGCAGAGAAGACCACAAGCATGAAGATTGCCTCAGTGCAAGATACTCCCCGCTAGAAACATTTGTCCTTAATAAGAATTGGTTCATGAGGGAGTTCCAAGGTCTTGTGTAAAAACATTGTGTTTTACAATAGTGGGGACATCTGTGTGCTGCTGCCCAGGCTGAACTGGGGAGAATGGGAGAGTTAAATGGAAAAAAACCTCAGTTGAGGCTGGAGCTGCCAACTGTCATTACCGGTTAGCAGTTTCTGGCTGCCAGCCTTTAGGAGGGTTGCAGCTTAGGGGATTACTTTTCTGCTTAGTTTGAAGTTCAATACCAGTTCGGTCCCTGTGGTGATAGATCGTGGCTTTCAGAGACATCTCTGTGAGTATTCAGCTGGCCTTCTGCTTGGGGAGGGGGGTGACACCTTTCCCCTTGACACCATCAGGTTATTTCTTCAGGACGTGGTGCAGCAGGACTTGGAGAATGGGCACCTGGGAGGTGCAGTTCTACAGCCCAAAGATCCCAGGGTTAACTGCTGGTCACGAGAACTGCAAGGTGATGGAAAGAGGATTCAGCTAATCAGGTAACAGAGGAGACAGTAACAAAAATATTAAGACTTCTGGTTTCATGTAGCAGCAGTTATCACACTCTTGATCTGCAGACTTTTATAAATCTTCCAGTGGAGATAGGGAGGCAGAGATGAATTTAATCTTGCTACTCTCGCTATTTTTCATGGATTGCTTAGTTTAAGATGGTGGTTTTCAGACTGTGGTCTCTACAGTATTTCTGTTGGTAACAATAGGCTTCTTTATTGAGGCTTCTAATCTGCTCAGTTGATGTGTTCTCTATCCTCTTTGCTTTCTGCCTTTTAATGTCTTTTCCTTACCTTTCTGAATTGTGGATGCTCTTTGGGATGAGGAAGGAGATGCTCTTGCTGATCTCTGGATTGCAGAAAAAACAAAATCTTTAAATACCTTCTGCTAGAGGAATCAGGACCTGATTCTGCCAATGAGCTGGAAACACAATCTGTAACCAAACTGACGTAAAGCACATTGTGCTTGGCCCCCGAAAATCTTTGTGTAGTTCCTCTGCTCTTTTCTCCCACAGGAATAAGATCAGATGTGTGTGTTTTGCTTCAGCACAGGGCTTAGCAAGAAAAAAAAGTGCTTTGCAAGAATATAATCTCTTCAATCACTCTGTTAAACTAGCAATGACCTGTTACTCTTTGATGGGAGCAAGTGAGATGATTGAGGAGGGGAGAAAAGATGCTTAAGCTCAGTCAATTCTGTTTCACGAGTCAGACTTCAGCTTTAGATACACATCTGTTCTACACAGCAGTGATGCTTGTATTTACTTCAGCTATTTTGTGATCGTGCTGGAGAGAAATCCATACAAAAGCACTCTCTGCCTAGAAGTTGCCTGCCTTCCCTCATCGTTTCTGCCACTTTGAATTCCAGGGGTTTTGGGGACAGGAATCTGTCTTCAGGGTAAAGCTGTAAAAGCTAAATTGGGCAGGATGAAGGAGAATTGAGCTATGCTCATGAAGAACAAGATCCACAGCTTATTTCACCATGGGCAGCAACACCAGGCCATCTTGTCATCTTGGTTTATAACTGCATTCAAACAGCAAAGCAGAAATTTTCTCTTCCCCCTCAGATGTTTGGCAGCAAGCTTGCCTTTGTCTGAAGTGCTTCTTGAGCACTGTGCAAACCATTCATTCCTAAACCAAATCCCAGTTTGAGTTGTGCTTTTTCTCCCTAATTTACAAATAGGAGGGTTTGGTTTAGTTTCTTGTTCTAGCTGCTGCAGTGAGACAACTCTTAGAAAATACAAGGCGCCATCCCAAAAGATATTATCTGTTTTATTCTGGAGGGCTTTTTAGCACAATGCACTTTCTTCGTGGTAAGAAATGGCCAAGATTGCTGGATTGCTGCATGACTACTGAAGTGTAATGATATGTGGGAATGGTGTCTTATACAGCAGCTCTGCTTGCACAAGCTTTCTTGCTCAGCATGCACTTCTATTCAGTGCCCTGAGATATGACGAGAATTTTTTTGGATAGCTTCTCAACTGGATCAAGGCTTAAGGGTGAAGCTTAATCTATTGTGGAGAACTTCAGGAACTACCAGGATCTGTCAAGGTATTTGGAGGATGTAATGTGTGGTGGTCTTCTTTCCTGACTGAGCAGAGCACTACCTCTGTTACCTCTGTTGTCTTCTAAACTGGTCAAGTATCCTAAGGTCCATTATGTTCTAACTAAGCATCTCTGTCC